CCGGCTGCGCAGGCCTCGCGGCGGCCCCCGCGGTGGCTCGGCCCGCTTCTCCCGCGCACGCCGTGCCGTCGCGCCGGGCGGGCTGCGGGTGTGTGAACCGGTTATGGCTGAGGAAAGGATCCGGACCAGGGCCTCCGCTGCCTTCATTTCCCGCCTCAGCCTTGCAGGACCGACCAGCAGATGGAAGGGAGGCCTGACGCCATGGCGAGACTGACACTGCGGATCGATCCCGTGTGTTGGCACAGCTTCAGTCCTGGAACTTAAGCTGGAGTCTGTCCTTGCAAATCATTCTCTCCTAGATTTTGGAAGGACAGAAGTGAGTGGGGAGGAAGGTTGGGTGATAATTCTGATCTCGAAGCTGAATCCAATGCCCCTTCTGTGTCAGGAGTTTCTGGTGTTCTGTGTGGAAATCCCTCCCCACATGATCCTGGTGCATTAGTTGGGAAGGCTTCTCCTTAGAAAGGTGCTGTCTTTCATTTCACAGGCACGGTTGACAAACATTCAGTGGAAGTCACCAACTGTTTCTCCGTTCCTCACAATGAATCAGAAGATGAGGTGAGCATGGGCTTTGTCCCCAGTGTAATTTTATATCACTGCTCTGGCCATTCAGAATTAAACCCAGTGCAAGACTGTCATGATCGGGTAATACCGCATTTGAGGAAGCAATGGTTCTTTTGCAGGATCACTTTTTGGAAAAAGATGGATCACTTTTGATCAGTGATTACTAACCACGAAGGAGGTTATTGATAGCTACTCATCTTGTTGGCTAGGTGCAGCCTCTGTTATCTGAGGCGGCGTGTCTGTGTGCATTAGTTGCAGTGATACTTAAGCTGGCAGAAGTCTTGTGCCCATCCTGCTTGAGTGGTCCTGTGGACGGCTTGTTTGCCACTTGTGAATGGAGTGCTGCACTGAGAGGACCCTTGGCTTGATCCAGAATGGCATTTCCTGTGTGACAGTGTACTAACTAGAGCATTGGAATATTATTGCACACAGGAATATTGTGTTAAAGCTGCTACATTTTTATAACTAGTAACTCCTGTGTGAATGTTTAGGAGTGTGAGGAAATAAAATGTGTAGATGGAGAACAAGAGCAAAACTACTTGTGAAGGAGGTTAGGCTGAGAGTAAGGGGCTGGCCCAGAGCTGGCAAGTGATAAGTTTGGTCAAGTGGGGACTAGAACTCGGACCTCCCGTGTCCCAGTCCTGCAGTCTCACCACCACGCCACAATTGGCTCTCGGACATTTGGTTACTGCGCAGTCTTCTGAACTAGAAACATGGCACAATAGCAGCTACTTGTATGACAGCCAGAGGTTGCTGATCATGTTGATGTGTCGTGAGTTGTGAGATGAGGGGACTTCTCCGCCTTCTGATAACGTCACAGAAGCACTGATGCCCGTGTTCAGTCTGCATTTCTCCATTGCAGCTTTTTTTTGGGGGGGGGGTGTTCCAAAGCAAGAGGCCACTGACTCCCCATGTACAGGGAATATTTTCCCCTTGTGCTCCCAGTGCCCTCCTGGGTATGTCTCCTCCCAGGCTGGAGAAGCAGTTTGGGAGGAGGCTCATGCTCCAAGCATGCCACCCAGTGCAGAGACGTGGCAGGATGGTGCCTGCTGTTCGGGGGGCATAGCTGAGTGGCAGGAAGCATGCCGTGGATGCCCAGGGTCCCAGGCTTAGCCCCGACATCTTAGCAGAAGGTGTGGGTAGCAGGGCTAGGAAGCCCTCTGCCTCGGACCAGCTGCGCTGTGTGGCACCAGGCAGCCCGCAGTCGTCTTCACTGCTGCAGAATCTCATGCTGGCTTTCTCAACTTCTAGGTGGCAGTTGACATGGAATTTGCCAAGAACATGTATGAACTGCACAAGAAGGTTTCTCCCAGTGAGATCATCCTCGGATGGTAGGTCCTGCAGCAAGTTGCTGTGCTCTCAGGCAGCCGGACGAGACGAGCAGCTTGGTCTCTCCAGATTTGTACACCAACACATAATTAAAAACAACCTTTACATGGGCAACTTTATGCAGCTACATTGTCGTGAATGGCGAGATGCCATTCTCTGAGCATTTATAATTGATGTTCGCTGAATAAGGCACAGTTCACTCATACTGAAGAACCATGCTTGGTGATTAAGAGGATCTGCCCTGCGCTCACCTTTGGGTTTTTGTAGCTTTCAGTATCCTGAAATCATGCGTGAGGAGATGTGGCCCGAGGTCAGTGGTGGCATGATGCACTGGAGGCCAGCCCCCTCCTCCCTGCTTGGTCCTCCTGCAGGTGTCCCAGGGGTCTGTGCAGCAGCACCTGCCTCTTTCCTCCCCACTCTGACTGCAGTGGCTCCCCTCCTTTTAACTCCCCTCACCCACTCCTTTTTATGAGTGACCATCAGTGGTCAGCCACCTTTTAAAGATGGCTTGCACCCAAAATGCACCTCCAGAAGTTTGGAGGGACTGGCACTGGCTGCCACTTCAGAGATACAAAAAACGGGCCTAGGGGCAGCTGCAGTGGTACAGAACGGGTCTCCACTGGGGCAGAGGCGATCAAGCCAGGGAGAGTCACCCTAGAGTGCTGCTTAGGCTTTTCTGGGGTGGCTGTCCCTGGTGGTGGCACAGGTGACATGGCAGCCCCAGAACAAGCCGCAGGCTGTCCGAGAGATGGGAGCTACCCGGGGGAAGGTGCTTCAGATTCACCTGACATGACGTCTCGCTGTGACGGGCTGCTGTGCAGTGCAGTCACATGGTGCCTGCTGGGCCTGCTTCGTCAAAGCACTTCTGAGGAGAGCATGGGTGTGCTTTGCGAGTTTGTCTGGATTCTGAACATCTAAGCATTGTGGGCAAAAGACGGTGTTCCTGTCTTTGCGTTTCTGCAGGTATGCCACAGGGCATGACATCACTGAGCACTCCGTCTTAATCCATGAATATTACAGTCGGGAAGCACACAATCCAATTCACCTCACTGTGGACACCAGCCTACAAAACGGGCGGATGAGCATCAAGGCCTACGTCAGGTATTTGCCACACCAGCCTCCACACTGTGCTCATGCTGTCTGCATCCTGGTTCGTGTGACCAGGGAGCTCAGAGTTGCAAGGATTCCTTTATAGGCTGCAGTCCAGGTTTACTGTAATGCAGGATTGATTTATATCCTGTTTCCTCATAGAAACACACCCAAAGTGGAGTCAAACTGTGCATTATGACAAATTAGAAAAATAATCTGGAATTTAAAAATAAGGCAGTGAAATAGTAAAATCTAGAAAGCATAGAAGCAACAGAAAATCACATATTACAAGCTTCCTGAAACAGTTTTGCTTCAGAATACATTAGGGAAGTCAGAGCATCCTGGTGGATCCTGCCGGGAAAGTGTTTCCAAGTTTGGCAGTGCTGCTGCTGAGAAGGGCCCAGCTCTTCTATCCAGAAACATTCCATTCTGAAGAGAATTTCAGGGCTCTTAACTATAAATTTCAGATTAACAAAAGACTTGGAGAACTTTTCAATAAACATGAATGGGAAAAAGAGGGAGAAGTCCTCCATCACCTTAATTTGAAGGATCCCAGTTGGCTGGGGAAAGACATTTTTATTGAAACGTGGTGCTTGTTCATCCTCTGTAATTTACGGAGAGTCAAACTGAGCAGGCTGTAATGATTAGTTCTGTGCTGCTGCTTTTCCCTGGCCTGTAACTCTGGATTTTGAGCGGATGCTCCTGCATCTGTCAACCCAGGAGCACCCTTTGCACATTCTGTGTCTGGGGCGCCTGCATTAATTTCTGTAGTAAAAAAGAGGTGGGTGCACTGGAGAGGGAGGCGGGGGAGCTCCATGTGACTCAGAGCAGGCCCTTCCCCACCCAGTGCCAGCTCCCGAGTGGGTGCATCCCGGTGTCCCTAAGCAAGGCCTGCCTGAGCACGTCTTCCCTCATAATGACTCTTGCCCTGTTCTGGTGAAGCGCTGGGTGGGGTGGGGTGGGGTGGGGTGGGGTGGGGTGGGGTGGGGTGGGGTGTATTCTTTGGGCTTCTCAGAACGCGCGCACTGGCAAAGCTGCTCCGACTGAACACTTGCTTGGAAGTGCTGCAGTGTGAAGATCTGTCTTTCCCCAGCACTGCGATGGGAGTCCCTGGTAAGACGATGGGCGTGATGTTCACCCCGCTCACCGTGAAGTACGCCTACTACGACACCGAGCGGATAGGCGGTGAGTGCCCTGCCCTGCCCTGCCCTGCCGTGCTTGGCACGCGGCCGGCGTCTGGCCGGTGGGCGGCATGCGTCCCAGGCTCCCCGCGTTCCTGCCGTGGAGTGGCTGCAGCGCGGCGTCTGGAGCGGGCCCTGCGTGGGGAAGGCTGAGCGAAGCCGGGAGCTCCCGAGCTGGGTCAGAGCTCCCTAGTGGCCGGAGGGGAGGGAGCAGGTAGCGAGGCCCCAGCGAGCCCAGCAGCCAGTCGGCCAGGGCTGGACCGCACCCGGCTGGGGGGCTGGGGCCCCGTGCTCAGCCGCTTCAGAGCAGCTGCTGGCAGCCACGCGGGGGAGCAGCGTGCCTGGTGAAGGGGTGGAGGCTGGATGTGGTGGCACCTGGGGGAGGGGAGGCACCCGCGGGATGCGGTCCTTCCTGGGCACAGGCTGTGCAGGGAAGGCGGGGAAGGGTGTACCCGAGGGAGTGCTGCCCGCTGTGGTGAAGGCGGGCAGAGAGTCCCGCAGACTCGATACTCCACAGTGTGACGACTCCGCCACCAAGTACTGTGGCTGACGGCTCCCGGCCCCAGAACTGGCCCCGTCATAGGAGCATGCGGTCATCCTGCAGCCCACGACGCTCGGGGTGACCTTGAGATGGGGAAGGAGATCGGGGAGGCTGGTGCCCGTAATGCGCATACCACGCGCCAGGGAAAGTAGCATAAAGTCCAGGAAATCACCAGCGGGGCCAGTGCACAGAATCAGAGAAGCCGTGAAGCAGAAGAAAGGCCTTCCAAAGATGGAAGCCTTGCCCAGAGGAAAAGAATGGACAGGACCACAAGCTTGTGCAGCTGGACAGTCGCAAGCAAGGAAGGAGTTTGAGGATCATATTGGTAGTAATGCCAGGGCCAACAATAAAGCATTCTTTAAATACGGAATAGAATATAAACGAGAGAGAGTCTTGCGTAAGAAACCCCTTTACCAAGAATGCTGTCTACTACTACACAATTACGCAGTAACTTGGATGAGTGACGGGTAGCGCCAGTTTCCAGGAGTCGGCTCGGAAGACTTCCTGTGAGCAACAGTCCGCCATCTTTCTCGTTGTAAAATGCCTGGTTTGTAAATTCATTCGATGGAACGACTGGTAGCCACAGTCCAGTCCTTAACTTGCCCTGTCCTTCCAGTGGATCTCATCATGAAGACGTGCTTCAGCCCGAGTCGGGTGATTAGCTTGTCCAGCGACCTCCAGCAAGTGGGGGCAGCATCTGCCCAAATTCAGGATACCCTGAGCACAGTGCTGCAGTACGCAGAAGACGTCCTGGTAAGATGCGTCCCGGGAAGAGATGTGCTGGAGTGCGTTGGGTGGCTGATTTATTGCACGTGTCCGGGGGTCTGAGTGCCTGTTCTGTGTCTAGTCTGGCAAAGTGGCTGCTGACAACGCCGTGGGCCGCTTCCTGATGGACCTTGTGAATCAGGTTCCAAAGATTCCACCGGAGGACTTTGAGACGATGTTGAACAGCAATATTAATGTAAGTCCCTGGCGCGTGTTTTTCAGTGGGCCTTTGCCTGGTAGGTTCCACTGAATTTAAAAAAAAAATCCCAGTACAAGACCCAGGCGGAGTTTTTGCAGATTGGTTCCTTTCTAAGCTCCCGGTGCCCCCAGTGGATAAGACGGGTTTGCGTAGGGGAGTCTTGCTCGGTTCCGTGTTACCTTTGTGTACTAATCACCAGGGCTGCTACAAATCTCCAGGGGAGCCATGGAGCAGATAGGCTGCACTAGCAGAGGGGAATTTTAATGGCTGGTTTCAAAATGGCGGCTTTTGCTGCCGTTCAGCACATGCTTTATAGTGAATCGTCCCGATCTGAAAAGCTGCCTCCTGGGGGAAGTGGGGGGATTGTGTGTGTGTGTTGCTCATGAAAGAATGCTGGCTGTGGCACGTTGTGCTGTGAGGCGCACTTCCCTCATTAGGTGTGGGTAAGCTCTTTGGGGGGGGGGGGCTTGCTCGGGGCAGGGAGCCGTTTGCAAGGCCACCTGGCAGGCAGTGGGTGGCTGGGGCAGCGCCAGCGTGCGCCTCTCCCCTCTTCCGCTCCCGGCCTGCCACGGCCACGCGTGCGTGCACACGCAGGCTCACGCTCTTCCCTCCCTTCGCCGATGTCGCGGGGCGACGCTTCTGGGGCAGCATGTCTGGCTGGCCCTCCTGCAGGGGCAGCTGGAGCATTCCTGCGACTGCTCCGAAGGCCAGGCGTGATGCGAATGGCAGCGTTTGGCCCTTCGCCCCTCAGTCGGCTGTCCTCTCCGGAAAAGGAGGGTGCAAGTTCCTTGCAGCCTTAACGTGTAACATAGCAGGGAATGGGACGCAGGAGCACACCATGCACGGAACCCTCTTGGTTTAAAAATACAGTGCCACACTGAGTGACCTTTTGGTCATTATGAAGTGAAACCCTGCCAGTTTGCAGCCGGAAGCTTAAAAAATGCTGCAGTCTCTTGGCACTCAGCCAAGTGAGAAATGCACTACTTGTTCTTAGTGTTTGTACTGTGCAGCCATTTTCTGTATGCTCTTTCATGCGCACTTTTTCTTTCTTTCAGGATCTGCTGATGGTGACTTACTTGGCAAACCTCACCCAGTCACAAATTGCACTCAATGAAAAAATCCTAAACCTATAATAAATTCTTAGGAATCTTACAACTGGAGTGCATAAAAAAACTGGAGTTCTAATCAAAACTTTCTGGTTGGACCATAATTTTTTAAGTCAGTTCCTCATCACCTAACCCCTCCCCTTCAAGGGAATAACTGGGAACTGAAATGTGTTCAGAAGATGAAGGTCATAAACAAAAGTGTATTAGCAGTTCCTCGTTTGGCATCTTGCACATTGATCATTCGGCCAAACCGGTGGCTGAATATCAGTAAGCAAACTTAGTGGGATCCAGTCTCTTGTTTGCTTTTTAGGCTTGGAACTTACTTAAGTTGCACTATCTCAGGAAGAGAGGGAGAGCCACCTATTAATAAATACCATAAGAATTTCCAAAACAACCTGTGTACAATATACCATTACTCTTTGAATCCTTGCCACTAAATGCCCAAAGTTCTTTCAGTTCTGCCAAAGTATGCTTGGACTTTGGAAGACAATGCAGGAAGCAACCAAAGTGTGGTGGAAAAGATTCCGAATCGAATGGGGAGAGTGGTGTTTTTAGGTTAGAATGAAGACTGCTCAGCTGAGCTGCTCTGGCATTCAGCCTTTGGAGAAGCAGCCATGCTTTTTGCTTGGGAGAGAAGGCGAGCCAGCAGGAACAGGTAAGTGTGTGAAATCATGCCTGCCCCCGGTACCCAGGATCATCCGGGAAACAGAGTGGTCAGTGATTCAGGCCAGATCGAGGATCTTCACAGAGCACACAGCTGCAGCCCAGGTGACTCTAAAGGGATCCACCGTTGCTGTGGTGCCTGCTTGCATGCCGGGAGCATGAGCACACAGGTGTTGGCGCGGGGTCTGCTGCTGAGATTTGCCCTGGCATTGCCGCGGTCGGCCCTCGGAGAGCAGAGCGTGGGCTGGAAGGTGCGTTGCTTTGGCCCAGCGCACGCTGCCCCGGATGCGCTCAGAAGTGGTGCCCCTTCCCTGGGAAAGCCGGAGCTGCGGGTGCTCAGCTGCCGAGGGACCCGTGCTGCAGGGCTGCGTGTCACGCCGGACGCTTCAGCATCAAACCGCACATTCCACGCCGGTCCCCGCGGGGGCTGCCGCCGCTGCTGCTGCTTAATCATTAATCGGCGCCTGGCCTGCTGGAGCCTCATGCAGCAGGGAGGCAGGAGAACAGTGCGCTCCTTGCAGGAAGCAGCGGCCGAGAGCATAATGCGTCACGGCTCTCTGCACTTGGGGCTCTGTGATCAGAACGGCCCCCTGTTGCGCCTCGGGGCGCATGCAGCTGCTGGCCTGCTGGGGAAGAGCCGGGGCCTTGGGCGGCCTGCAAAGTGTGGCTCTCTGGCAGCGCCGGGCGCTCTGTGACCACTGCTGCTGTCGCACTGGAGAGGAGAGGAGGGGAGGTGGAGCAGAGACCAGGGGAGGAGCCGTCGCGTTTCTCAGTTCCCTGCCCTGTAAAAGCCCCTAGCACCACCAAACAGTATTTGAACGGCATAATTGGAAATTACGCTCAAGGGTAGCATAATTTGTGCAAACTTTCCAGGCCTGCTGTTCCGCAAAGGGGAAAGCGTGCGCCTTGCAGGAAGGCCGGGCTCTCCACCGTAGCCCCTCATGCTTGTCCCCTGGTTTTTCCCTTAATGTGTGCCCGTCGCAGTCCACGATCGCAGAAAGGAAGTTCCATACGGCTGAGAAGCAATGCATGAAGGAGCCACGCCTGTGTGGCCCTTTCCTCTGCAGAATCCACCATTCTGCTGGGACGCAACGCATGGGGGCTCGCACCCTGTTTGCAAATCGAATTGTGCTTGAAACTGCCAGGAGCCACATGCTGGCGAGGAGGCGCAGGAGAAGCCGTTGCGGATTAGGCCGATGGTCCATGCAGCCCAGTACCTCGTTCGCGCGGTGGTGCACAGCCCCTTCAGCAGGTGGGGTGCAAGGCCTGCACCTGCCCGAGCTCCTCGGCAACGGCAGTGCGAGGACAGGCCACCTCTGGCGGAGCGGCGGCCGGCCAGGGCAGTGGCCACTGGGGCCGCCTCCAGGGATGTGGCCCGGCCCCTTCCAAGACCATCCAGTTGGCTGCCACTGCTTCCAGTATGCAGTAGGAGAAGTGCGCTTACCTGTCCCGAATCTCCTGCAACTTGGCTTCCTGGGATGACCCGCTTGGTTTCTGGTGTGTTGGGAGAGGAGCACAAGGTCTCCTCTCCATCCCGCCCCCCAGGCATCCCTCGGAACACCCCTGCCTTTTCTAAGCTGCACCACCCCAGTTGTGGCTTTCTGAGAGGAGTTGCTGCGCCTCGTGGCTCGTTTCAGACGCCCCCCTCTCTTCCTGCCCATCCTCGCTGCTCTTGGACTGCCTTCCCCCGGAGGAGATGGGCGGCCTTTTGCCCGCGTGAGGCTTTCGGGGGGGGGGCGCCCCCTTCTCTCCCGGCTGCTCTGCTGCAGGGGCGAGCGCAACGCGGTGGGGCGGCCACGGCTGCAGGGGCGCCAGACCGCGCGGGTGGTCCAGCGGGCGAGGGCGCTGCGTGCCGGACGCAGCTCAGAAGGGAAGCGGCTGCCCCGGGGCTGCGCGGCCGCGCCGGGATCCCGCTTTGCGGTGCGTGGCCGGGCAACGTTGGCAACGCTGCGGCTCCTGCGAGAGGCAAAACCAGAGTATCCGCGCCGCCTTTACATAGCCGCTGAGGCATTTTAACGGGAGACTAGCCACGGGAGGGCGCACGTGACGGAGACGCACACCGTGGCACATGGTTTGGAGAACATGGGCGCGGGGGGAGGGCCTCCCTCTCGTCGCTCCGGAATGCGGGGCCAGCCGCTGGAGCCGCGAGACTCGCGGCGGGAGGCGGCAGCGGCCGCAGGTCACGCGGTTCGCTGGCGAGGCTTCCCGGGAGCTGCAGCCCGTGGCGGCTGCCAAGGGCGCTCCGGACGGGCGAAACCGGCCCGGCCCGGCGAGCGAGCCAGCGGCGGGCGCCCGGGACAACGAGCCCTCCGCCCCCGCGCCGTGGGGGGCAGGCCGGCGAGGGCGGCCGAGCGTCAGCCCCGGAGCTACCGCCGGGCCGGCTGGGGCGCATGGGAGTCGAGGCTCTAGGCGCAGGCAGGGCGCAGAGGCGCCTGCCCGGAGGGGCTCTGCCCTCCCCGGGCCGCGGGGCTGGCTCGGCACACGCGGGGGGCGCGCAGGCCTGGGCGGGGGCGGGCGAAGCAGGGGGGCGGGACAGGGCCGGCTGCCGCCCCGCCCCGCCCCGCCCGGGCCCCGGCTCCGGCTCCATCTTGCTGGCTGCGCTGCGGGCCGGCGGCGGAGTGGCGCGATCGTCGGCGGCGTCAGGTGAGCGGGTCCCTGGGCGGGCGAGGACGCGCCGCCGCTCGAGGCGCGCCGCTGCTCCGCCGGTTGCTTCGGGCAGGCGGCTCGGGCCGGACCCCGGCGCCCCGATCGCTTCCCCGAGCCTGCCGCCGGCCCCGCCGCTTCCCCGCGGCCCCTTCGGCTCGGGCCGGGGCGCCGCCGCTCTCCAGCCCGCCCGGGCTCGCAGCCCTCCGGGGCTCCGGCTCCGGGCAGGCCGAGGGCGAGTGGCGCTTTCCGCCCGCCCCCGCCCCGC